CCCCCCCCCCCTATAGTTTATGACTGGTCCCTAAGCTTACGCAATACCCAACTGATATTTTGTAATTTCCTCACAAGACAGGGCGACAATTGACGCATGAAACTATAGACTTATAGGAACTTATAAGAAATAGAGAAATCATCCTTTCATTATTTTATTTTGTGAATTAATATTTTTAGCGAAGTAAAATTTTTATATTCGTATACCATTTTGTATTTTTATCGTAATTACCGAACTATATCACTGACCTGTAAATATTGATTCCAACGGCTAATCAAAAACGATTATATGTTTCTATCAAAAACTGACACTGTCACACTGGTACCAGCAACTGTCACACTGGTACCAGCAAAAGTAGTCAACCAGCATGGATATCAAACCATAGTAAATATAGCTTTTCCTCCATTCATTTATCTGGTGCATGTTAAGACCATGCATTATCTACAGTCTCGAATACTATAATCTCTATATATCGCTATAACAAGGCTGCATGAACACAATATATTCAAGATAACATCCTATATATTTTTCTATTTTCAGGTACCAGTGAAACGGCTGTCAAATACTTTAACAAGGGCCATATATAGAAGATCAATCAAATCACCAAATAGATCAGTCGTACATTCTTCACCTTGGATTAAGGAGAAGCTATTTTCTTTTAAAGCAATCGAAAAATATTTAAAAGCGTTTCATAAAAGTGGTATTCGCAAGAGCGTTGTTTTTTGTGTTCCTTTGGTACACAGTTCCTGGAGGACACTCGACCTGTATACGTAAGTGATATTAGGCCAGCTGATTTTATTTGGTTTTATTTTTACTTCTTTTACAAAGTTTTACTAAGATTACCAAATGATTCCAAGTTTAACAGTCTCTGTGCGTCCGAACGATGCACTTAACTGACGCTTTTGATTCACATATAAGCATTTACTGTTTCGTCTGATAAATACGATGGCCAGTAACTATAAACTTAACACGGATTGTTTGTCAGGTATAGTTTGTGAGTATAGTTAGTTCCTGGATCTCAGTGACACATTGAAATATAAATGCGGCCATTGCCTTTATAGATTTTTGGGCGTATTGCTCGCTTCATACATCAGAAATAGTATAGGGTTCGATATCCTGCTGCCAAATGGCCTATATAGTTTTATTTACGTAACTGCTTTTGACAATGACTATATAATAAAACTACTGTTTTAAATAAAGTGGCGTCGACAGCAAACTGATGCTAAATTTTGAAAAAAACAAACTGGTCACTGTCTTGTAAACTAACAATCGACTAATATAAAGTTATCGTAAAGTGTTAATACATTTTAATGTTTCATGATCTGGTCATTTTTTTTGAAGAATCTATAGAAAGAGAAGATAGGTTACCGACCAAATGCCGTATCTGGGGCTAAGGAAAAGTAGTTGAACTAATTTAAATATATATTTTCTTCATGCGCGCATGAAAGCAAATTAATCGCTTATAAGGACCAAAATATTAAGATTACAGTTCTTATTAAACTATATTAAGCTAGACTTTTTGAAAAATAAAAATAATACTTAATACTTTTTATTCTTTTTAATACTTTTTTATTAAAGTATTTCTGTTTTAAGCATGTATCTTTTTGGTTCAGGTCCTGCCACTTCTTACAGCACCTCAGTCGACAATTTGTTCCACACATTACATTGTTCCCTTCCGACCCGGGTTCGTGTTTAAACAAAGCCAAACAAAAAAGTGCTACATTTACCACGTATACTCAAGATAAGCAAAAGGCTGTTCAGTTGGTCAACATATACACCCAAGAATGTAAGGCATACATGGGCGTTACCGGGAAACCTAATTTATATGCTACTTTAAACGAAAACCTTAGAAGTGGAAATCCTCGAATTGTCTGGAATGACATGTCCGCATTACTAAGCAAAGGGCTTGTTCTTCTTGGTTCTCAAGTAATTCCAAATCTTTACCGTGGGTGCCATTGTCCAGTTGTTAAGAAAGGCACACCGTTCACTTTCAAGCAATTTGCCAGCACCACAAGCAATCCAGATGTTGCGCTCAAGTTTCTTGAATCGCCTGCAGGAAAGTCCTTTATTCATATAAAAAAGGCGGAAGGGACTGATGTACAACCATATTCGCGTTTTCCAACTGAAGATGAATTCCTGTTAGGTCCTGATATAAACCTGGATGTGGTCCAAGTTGAAACCGACATCAATCGAATACACGAAGAAATCAAGAAAATATCACCAACCGCAGACGTGCGAAAATACCGAACCGTCGAAAAGTATGTCGTGCTTGATGGCTCAAGAAAAACGAAAAAACCAAAAGGTGGTTTCTGGAGCACATGCCTGTGTGGTGGTGGCGAGCCTTAAAACACATATTCTTCCAAATATACTGTTACATGTTGCCTCGTAACATATTTCATTATATATATAACTATAGTATAACAATGTCGGGAATGATTCATTATTGCACAAATATATAATATCAAAAAAACTTTTGGCGTATATAAGGTGTATCTTCGGGTATCTATAGGTTCTTATAATTAGAATTCAATATCTAGGATTTGAAGATGACGTAAAGATCGTTTTACCAATGCTGTGCATAATAGACCTTTTCGATAAATTACGTCACGAGCATTTTCCTGGCCAACTCGCGAGACACGAGACAAACACTCGCGAGACACGGACAAAAACAAGTTATTTGATAAATATATATACACTTTCTACACTTTCGTATGACGTCACTTCCAGTATTAAGTGAGATACATACCTTGAATACTAATTACCTTCGGTGGTGGATGGGGAATTATACTACTCCCTTTATTTATACTGGATAGCTCTATCAGTTCTAAACTGTTTTCTCTAGAGGTCCAGTAAGGATAATTTTTTATTTATCCAATGTTACTACAGGAGGAAACCTAAACTAAACTAACTTTATTTATACTGGATAGCTCTATCAGTTCTAAACTGTTCTTCCTAGAGGTCCAGTAAGGATCATCTTTTATTTATCCAATGTTACTACAGGAGGAAACCTAAACTAAACTAACTTTATTTATACTGGATAGCTCTATCAGTTCTAAACTGTTTTCTCTAGAGGTCCAGTAAGGATCATCTTTTATTTATCCAATGTTACTACAGGAGGAAACCGAAACTAAACTAACTTTATATATACTAGATAGCTCTAGCAGTTCTACTGAACCAATCGATCGAGCCACCTTAATAGGGAACGCCCATATTCTCCAGGTATGCAAATAGTCAGGTGTCCATAGGTGAGATAAGGCAAGACAATAGATTTAATATAGAAATTCATTTCTTGTTGTGTTAGGGTATAGAAGAAGAACTAAGATTGGCTGGAGAAGCTTTTCTCGAGGGTGATGATGGATGTGAAGTCAGTGTGGCCAGGAATGAGGTTTGTAGCCTGAACTAACCTCGTCCCAGGGCATTTTGCCTCCACAGCTGAAGGTCGGTGAAAATGGCCCTGGGATTGGCCATAGCCTATCCGAAGGGAAGATGGCTGTGAAACTCATTAGAGTAACAGTGTAACTCATCTATGTTAGTCAACGTTTATTCATAAATCTGGTCCTTCACCGTCACGTGTGTATTGTATTTTTGCCAAGTCCACCAATAGCAATTTACTCTATTGTTCGAGTCACGGATAGGTAACTCTCTTAAAACATTGCTATTGGTTAGTACTAGTTGGGCAAAAATGCAATACACACGTGACGGTGAAGTACCATATTTATGAATAAACGTGGACTAACATAGATAATGAGTTATATATTGTTATTCTAGTGCGTTTCATAGCCAATCTTCCCTTCGATAGGCTATGGATCGGCTGATCATTTCTGCAATCAAAAGCATTAATTATTTTGCAGTATAATTTATTTAAACAACTCTAGTGCTTTAAATGTTTTTGTCATCAAATTATACGGCAAACTTCAGAAAATACCAAGAGTATAGTCAAGATTCACTTACGTCCTATACTTGTCGTGTTATGTGTTTGTCGAACTCATGGATATCAGACGAATTATGCAAGCATACTGCTCTTAAAATAACGTCTTTAGATGAATAAGTTGGAGCAGTTGGCAAGTAGTTCATTACTTCACATTTCTTATTCGTAAACAAACAACAAAGATTTAATTTCACATATATATTATCCTATCAAAACACCCTGAAATTCTGGGTGTCATGTGCCCAGCCGTTCCAGGGCCATTTTCGTCGACCTTCAGCCGTGGAAGCAAAATGCCCTGGGGACGAGGTTGTGTCTGAACAGCATGAAAATCATTACCAGCTCGTATACTATAAATCCCCTGATCAAGTACAGTATAGTCATAACTACGCTTATTTTTCATATGCTCCTCAATCAACAAACAAACATAGAGGAAGTCTTACATTGAAAGACTTAGAAAGAAATATATTGTTAGTAGATTTCATAATTTTCGTTTTAGGTCAAACTGAGCATGATTTTCAAGTGGTATAAAGAAGATTTTGGCTATGACAAATTTGAGGTTTGTCAAGAAAAAGAAGCAAACTTAAAATGCGACTAACCCCAAATAGAATTTTTGGTAGTTGTAATATTTGAGTCATTCTATAAGATGAAATGTAATGTATCTTTATAGTAAAAAACCTCAAGCTTGATTAACTTTTTCACTGTCAAAGTTCCAGATATGATGTCATTCGGTGAATTTTTGGTACAAAAAAACAAAGGAAAACTAATTTGCAATTTGCCTAATGACATCATATCCGGAAACTTTGACAGTGAAAAAGTTGATCAAGATGGGATTTTTTATTATAAAGATGTATTACATTTCTTCTTCCAATCACCCAAATATTACACATACAAAAAACCATACTTGGGGTTAGTCACATTTTAAATCTATATATTAGCTAGATAGCTAGCTCTAAGTCCACCTTATAACAACCCGCACACCCGATTACCTATATATACATGAACTTACGGTTACATCTCAACAGCTGGCCTCTGTAGCTCAGTTGGTTAGAGCGCTGCACCGGAATCGCAGGGCCGTAGGTTCAATTCCTACCAGAGGACCTTGTGCTACATTTTTAGGTCTTAAACCTTGTGCTGCATGGTTAGGTCTTAAAATGTATATATTCTCACCTGGATTACAAACCCTAACATTCTAATATTAATTCCACCAAGTGAAGTGCAAGAATCCATCATTGAAGCTCTATTTAATAGCAGACGTGCCAATAATTTTACTTTGCTATTTTCCTTTGCTAAAAGGATAAAATGTTTGACTTCTCTAGATAGCACTATGGGTCCACGACCACATGGGCGATTGTCAAAAGAAGAAGGATCTTGGTGAAATACTGCTTGATAAAAATTTCAAATTGACTCACATGTCTTACAACTGGAGTTTGAACTCGAAATAAATATCCCGCAAAGACTAGCTGATTCCACGAGTGCTTTTTCCTGCGAAATGAATTATAGCATGTGCAGTAAAGATCATGAGAAAGAATTAGCTTTGCAAGATGTAAAACTCGATAATTCATGACATGATCGAAAAGAAATGAATGAGTGTTTAATCAATATCGGTAAATCTGTAAACTTTAGCATCGATTTTCTCGTCTAAAAGCAACCATATCGCCAAAATAGTTGGCGTAAACTTGATTTCTTAGACGCTTTTGTATTTAGGTAATTAAGTAATGTAAAGCATATTCGCAGATAGGCTTCGCATAGTTCTGAGCGCAGGCTAATCCGGCTCTATTCATACGGCTCATGCCTTATTATAGCCCTTATATATTCCCCAAAAACGGGTACCCAGGCATAAATGTACTAAATATACCGGATGAGATGTCTGGGGTAATCTGTTTCCAGTATATGTAACCATTTACATATACTGGAAATAGATTACCCCAGACATACCATCTGGCATAATACCTTCACTAGCTTCTACATACCAAAACCAATATCAGCCGACAATTTCAAAAAGTATAATACAAACTGCACAATTTCGATATGGTACAAGGTAGAAATAAGGTAGAGTTTCTAGTAATTGTAGTCGGTCGAAATAACTATATATGTATATCTTGTTAGGTATGAAATTTTCATCATTGTATTTTAGCTTGCTATTCAATATAAAAAATAAACTGAAAGTTAGTTCATTTATGCTGGATAGATCTATCAGTTCTAAACTGTTTTCCCTTGAGGACCATGCCCTATTTGACAAATGCACTAACCAAGGGTCAACAACCAAGTGTGTAAAAGATTTTTGCATATTTTGCGATACAGTTTTCGGTCCAGTTACCACGATCCTATTTAGATCAGAATTGCATGCGGGAGACTGGGTCCAATTTTAAAATTCACGCGTTTTCCCGCGAGTACATGTGCAACAAATACCATTTAAACTGGAGCAAAATTTTTGCTTTATTTTCGTTTTTTGGTCAATATTATCGCTGTGAAAAAGCTTAGATAATGTCAAAGAAGCGAGCTGGTAGCGAAGCAGGACAAACTGCATCCAAACGACTGCGTACTGGCAAAAATAGCGTTGAAAATGGAAGTGATATTTCGGACATGTCGAGCGACAGTGATGGGGAAAATGACTGCTCGCAAAATGCTGATTTTAGACCACAAGAACACAATGTGAGTTTGTATGCTGTTGTAGTTAATGTAGAAATGGTTTTGGTGAATGTTTATGTTCTGTTTTTTGTTTATTTAACGGTGAATTAATGTAGGTTTTAAAGATAGATAGGTATTTAACCTTTATATCCATATGGTGTCTTATTACACCTGCTCCCTTGTGGAAAGATGGTCTCCACTCTCCTCAGCAGCGCGCAGGAGATCTCCCGCGGCTTTCTGAGTGTTGGGTTATAGATTCATGTCTTGCTGTTCATGAGTTAGGGTCAGCGTTTAGGGTTAGAGTCCGGGTAAGGATAGGGTCAGCATTCATAAACAGCGAGACATGAATCTATATTAACCGAGTGTTGTGTCAAAGCTACCACAGAGCCTAGACTTGCTCCAAGTCTCTCTTTCATTGTCACATAGTGTCGATCCACTATAGTGTACATTACATGACGTAGCACTTGTCAACTTCGGAAAATCTCGGTTCAAAACTGAACAGAAAAAATGCAAGACTTGCTTTAATTGTTTTCTGTCAGTGTTTATATGCATGTATTGATCTAGTGCAGTGTAAATAATGTGAGTTCCATTATAGTAAATAATACAGAAAGAAATTGAAGCCGAACAATTAAAGCAAGTCTTGCATTTTCGGTTCAGTTTTGAACAGAGATTTTCTGAAGTTGACAAGTCTCTCTTTCTCGCTCCGCCTCTCCATGCTACATCATGTAATGTACACTATAGTGGATCGACACTATATGACAATGAAAGAGAGACTTGGAGCAAGTTTACCGCATAGCCACACCTTCATAAAACACACTTCATGTTTCTGCTATTTCTGCAGTTTGGAATATTTACAGCATATTGCATTTACAGCATTTCTAATGTGAAACCAGTAATGTTTGATAAAACTGCAAGACATATTAGTCACATAGTCTAGTGGACGCACAGTCATTTGTCAATACACAAAGAATTGAACAAAATATGTCTTCAAAGAAATTGCAAGAATTCTTTTGCAGGATTGT